AGCTAAGAAAGGCAAGTCAGCTCAGAACAGCTGAAGAAAAACACAAGTATGAAGGATCTTTCTTGTCTCTATGAAAACATAAAATACTGAAATAGGAAAATCTAGCAGATTATTATTATTGGTAAACTCAAAAACTTTTTCCTGGTTCTTGTACTAATAATACCAAAATCAGGGAAAAACAAATTCAATTAAATATAGTGGGGGGGGGAAATTGACGAATGTTGTGAGTTAATGTTGTTGTGACTTTATATTTTCTTATTATGATTCTTTCTTTGTCTTTTGGTTTTAATTCTTAAAGATGATTATTATTGTCTCTGTATCATCATCTTGGTATGAGATCAAATTTCATTATGCATAGATTATTACCTAAGCTCAAACTCTTGAACATGAGCAATATCTATACATAATAAAAATTGAGGAATGTTGTGAGTTAATGTAGTTATGACTTCACATTACACAGACACATTACCCAAAACCGCTTCTTCTTCTTCAATTGTGAGTTAATGTTCTTAAGTGCACTTGAAGCCGCGGCAAAACGACAAGATGATGATGAGAATCAAAGCGACGATGCCGAAAACTACAAGCTTGGTCTGCATGGTCTCAAACCACATTTTTCTCTTCATCTTTGTTCCTTGTGTTGTAAAATCTAAGACATTCATAAAAACCACTCCATGGGCGTTACCACTTTATCCAAGTATGTAATATATATGTAGTATCTATGCGGGTATTAGAGATATGGTTTAATCTGTGAGCGAAGGTCGTCAGTTTTGTCTACTAATAGTTGGATTTTCTCACCACGGTCAAGGACCTTCTCAATGTTCTCCATCATAACACCTTTCACTTGAGTCACTTGAGCCTTAACTTTGGCAAGTTTACTAATCATCTGTTCAGGATGACCCACACAATATTGCATGTGTTCTTTTGGTTTAGACCTTCATTGCAACAAAAACAAGGTAAAACACACATACATCCACAAAATATGCAATCGGATGCCGATTTTTAAAATGTCGAAAAGTACCCGAATTCTCTGTTCAAGCTATTAGCTTTAGCAGTGGAAGCCTCCTTTACTCGCTCCAAGAAAGCCATTGGAATCTGCCTCCCAGCAGATT